ACAAATCAGAAAGGGATTCTGCAATAAGCTCTCACTTACACCACTGCTTCTTGGTATTTCCTGATTGGAGAGCTCTGCAAACAAATCATGATTACTACATAGGGAACTGACCAGAAAGTCATCCAGAAGCAAAGCAAATCTGAGAGGTTTAGGGACATTGCCTTGTAATCCCTGTGACTTCAAAGGGCAGCGGTGGGTTCGTGGATTCAATTTGGAGCTGGAAATCAGACCTCTTGAGTTTGCCACTGACGTGCTATAAGATCATCTAATCTCTATTCTCTCCAGAGACGTTTAGATAGTCTCGTGTATAAAACAACCACTGTCATATAGATGTTTGCAAACCCTGACGGTCTCTGGTTCACCACTGACTCAGCGTCTCCAGGTATATGAAGATGGTCAGTTTCACTTAGCTAGTTTTCCTGCAACTGAAGCGGAGAATTGCTAGGATGGTTTCCTTGTGCTCCTGGTTTTAGTGCTGTTGCCTCTGTCTCCTCTCTCCCTTTTGCCTGGGTTAGTTATAGAATTACCTATTGAACTCAACAGAGACAGCAGGGCAGCAGATATTAACTGGGGCATCTCAGATTTCCACATCTTTCTTCTGTGTATGATATGGCCTCTTCCTTTTCTCTTGCGATATTTTTGGAGGCATCCATAATGTTAATTACCTCTCTTTGGTACACCTGCTGGCTGTAACAGAAGTGCAGCCAGCTTCATGACTCTTACTGCAGGTGCTCATATATATAGGCCATAAAAGCTCTGATCTTTTTCCTTATCCTCTGTGTTGCCACTTTTATAGCTGAGGTCCACATATATATATTGTAATTTTCTCTGTCCTATTTAGGCTTGTTAATTCTTTATTTTCCCAAAATGTGAAGAGTAAAGGAGGAAAGGGTTCCCTCTCCATCTTACTACTCTAATACCTACCTTTATTCACTCCCCAATCGTTTTTCTTCTCCCACTGTATGGGAGCACCCTTTGTCCCCTTCCTGGAATATAGATGGTCACCCAATCACTTTCTCTAGAGAGAACAGGTAAAATACAGCTGGGCATCTATAAGAAGTAGTGTGAAAAAAATATTTAGATACCATTGAGTAACAAGTCGACTCAATAATGAAATGCTTCCAAGATTTGCATCCCCGGGAACAACAGAAAACGCTTTCAGGTATCTCATTTTCAAATTTCTTCCTGCTCTTAGACAAAAGGCAGATGAATATTTTCTACACTAGCCAATTGATATTCTACACTGGACAATTGATGTTGCAGGACAACTTGATCCATTTCAGAGACCTCCCCTGAAATGCATTAGAGCTAGTCAGAAATTTTCCAACAGAACTTTTCTGCGCTGGAAAATGGCGATGTGTTGAAATAGAAATGTTCTGCAGGAATGTGTTGATTTCAATGGAAGCCAGGCAGGCTGCCACAAAACCAGAGCCCCAAGCTCTTGGGCAGCCAACTTGGAAGGCTACTGCAGAGTCAAGGAGTTTGGGGAGGTGGAGCATTATTTCTTGACAATTTCCATTCCCTGGGAAAGATTGCATTTCTGACCTCTCATTCCTAACTGGAACATTTTTTTTAAATGGGAAAATTCCCTGTGGGATGGAAATTCCAATTACAGCTCATCTATAGGCAACATCTTCCCACTCAGATTCACCACATTTGCCATACTTGCAAAGTCCCTATAGAAATTTTCCATTTGTGCTAGGTCTCGCTCCCAGTTGGTGCTGCCAATAAAAGCGGTCTCAACAAGTTCTGTTTGAAACTTTGAGGCAAAAAAAAGTTTGCCAAACCACTGAGTGGTTTCCCTATATCTGCCGACCAGGATAAACCAGATATAGAAATGAGCCAAATACCCCTTAGTGTGTTATAGTTTATTGGATTACAGCCGCCCAAAGAAATTATTTTAAACCACTGAAAAAAGAAAGTTGAGGCGGCATGTGTAGGAAATAAATAGAATATTTCCAGGAAGGACAAAGGAAAGATCTCAATGGGAAGAGAAAGATGAATGAAAGCAGGAATCTGCTAAACATCTTAGATATCTATCCACAAATGCAAAGAATATGTGGAAATAAACAGAAAGAACTTGAAATATTAGTGCATAAGCCAAACTAGGATTTAAGTGGTGACACAGAGATTTAGTGAAATAAGTATCATGACTGAAAGGAAGGACAGGCAGAATCAAAAGGAATGAGGTTTGCATTATACATGAAGACTATATACATTTGCTCTGAGGTCCAGAGGTAGATAAGAGGAAGACCAGGACCAGCTGAAAGTCGCTGGATAAAAATAAAAAGGAGGTAGATGAGGAATTTGTAGAACAAACAGAAGAAATATCCAAAACACAAGACCTGGTAATAATAGAGGACTTTAACTACCAGACATGTTGGAAAATTAATACAGCAAAACACAATTTCCATTCCGTTTTTGAAATGTACTGGGGGCAACTTTTTGTTTCAGAAAATGGAAGAAGTAACCAGGGGGACAGCCATTTTAGACTTGATTCTGAAGGTGGAAGGCAATTTGGGTGAAAGTGATCAAAATTCTAAGGAAAGGAAGTAGTGAGAACAGCAGAATAAGGACAATAGACTTCAAAAAAGCAAGCTTTAACGAACTCAGAGAATAGGTAGGTAATGTCCTATGGAAGGAAAATCTAAGGGAAAAAGGAGTTCAGGAGAGCTGGGGACTTCTCAAGGAGACAGTATTAAAAGCACACCTGCAAACTCTCTTGATGTGAAGGAATGCTAGGAAGAATAGTCAGAGGCCAATACGGCTCCATCAGGAGATCTTTAATGACCTGAAAATCAAAAAAAGAATCCTATAAAGAGTGGAAACATGGACAACTTGTTAAAAAGAAATACAAAAGAACAGCACAAGCCTACAGGGACACAATTAGAAAGAGTAAGGCACAAAATTAGTTACACCTAGCAAGGGATATAAAAGGCAGTTTCTTTAACTGCATTAGGAGCAAGAGAAAGATGGCTCCCATTGGCCTGAAGTGGTGAACCACAGCCAATGGGAGCCGCGATTAGCCGGACCTGCGGACGCAGCAGGTAAACAAACCGCCCTGGCCCGCCAGGGGCTTTCCCTACACAAGCGGCGTCCCAAGTTTGGGATACACTGCTCATAGATTTAGTGGTGGGAACTCTGACTTACAGAGCACTGCACCCCCAAACTTTCCCCCCACCAAAAGTGTAGAGAACTTAAAAACTGAAATGAAGATTTTTCTTTCCACATTTACCAACCTAAGAGATATTGACAGCAACTAGTTTCCCCAGTACACCTGTACCAATACCTGCTATTACATCCAGCATTGATTGAAAATCACATACACATTTTTCTACTAAGTTGATCAGCAGTAAAACACTTATTTATTTTTAGTAGATTTCAGAGATAAGACTAACAAAATGAGAGAGAGAGAGAGAGAGAGGACTTGACTCATCTCAGAGCTATTATTTTTGTACTTTGGGGCAGATATCACCATATCATTTCACAGTCAGCTCACATTTTGCAAGTTGACTTTGCAACTCTAAATATTGCAAACTTCATCATTTAAAAAAATATGAACCTAGATTCTGCAGAAAATTATGCCATGAATTTCCCACTCTTACCCACCAAAAAGCAACTATGTGGTCATTTACACATTCATTATATTGAATAAATGTTTATTTACCTATCAAAATTCATTCAACAAAACCAGTGAAAAACAAAGAAAAGAAAACATAATCAAAGCAAACTGATATACTTACCATTTATATAGCAATTTTTGGCTGGTGATCGAGAAGCATTTTACAAATAGGGATAAATATAATTAACTCCATTTTTACAGATGGAAACAGACACAACAAGAGCAAGTGGTTTCCCCTAAACCATGCTGCCAGTCAATTCCAGGACTGGGA